ACAAGTTGGGGTTAGAGGCTACCATCATCACTGGAAGAGTATTTGGAGAGGATTGATCCCCACCAAAGTGATATGCTTCACTTGGTTAGTCATCAAAAGAGCCTGCTTAACTCAAGAAGTGCTGCAGAAGAAAGGAAAGCAACTAGTCCCCAGGTGTTTCCTGTGCAATTTGACTGGGGAAACAAACAATCACCTATTTTTACATTGTAAATTCACTGCACAGATCTGGGAGTTGTTTCTCAACATCACATGCTGTAGCTGGTCTATGCCAGAACACACCTCTGATCTTTTTAAATGTTGGATCAGAAGAGGGGGTAGCAAGACTCAAAAGAAGTGGTGGAAGCTAATACCATCATGCATATGGTGGTCAGTGTGGAAGGAAAGAAATGGGAGATGTTTTGAAGATAGATCTAATTCCATTCACAAAGTAAAATGGAATTGTTTGGTATCTTTACTTTTTTGGTGTAAACAACTTTGCATAGAAGATGTAGATCAAATTATAGAATTAATAGGGAGCTTGTAATTTCGCTTAGGGCTGTAAATTTTGAAGGTGGCCAGCATGTCCTTAATGCTGAAGAATACAACTTTACCAATGTTAAAAAAAAAAAGACATAGAACAGAACACTTTGCACGAGATGATAGTGGCGAATCAAAGTGAGAAATTGGTGGAAAAGCCTCTGCAAATTGCAGAAGAAACAACTACACAAAGAAGTTTTGAGAGGGGATATGAGAAGGGGGGGGGGGGGGGGGGAGGAAAGCCCATGCACAATTGCTGGTCAAAGATCATTGACTTCTATCAAAGAATGGGAGATCGAAGAGGCAGAGCCTTTGCGCACACAACAACAATTAATTACAGAAAAAGAGAAGGAAGTGTTCTGCGTGGGTGAAGCAAAACATGCTGAAACTAGGGAAATTATTAGGGGCGGATTTTCGAGGACATGAGGAAGAGGCTATGGAACAACTACTATGTAAGAAGAACAGATTTAAAGGCTCTAAAGAATTAAAAAATTTAGTAGCCTTTGATGTGAAATTCAAGAGTGGGGGGTGTAGAGATAAGGGGAGGAACATCGTGGCCATTACATGATGCAATTCAAACTAGTATCATGGAATGTAAGGGGCTTAAATAGCAGGGATAAAAGGAGGGTAGTCAAGAACATTATGGGGGATTGGAAAGCTGATATAGTTTGTCTACTAGAAACTAAATTAGAGGGGGATATTACAGGATTGATAATGCAACTATGGGGGTAGATGGATTAAAATGGCATGTTTGGAGGCAAGTGGAACTAGAGGAGGGATAATGATGCTATGGGATAGTAGAATTTGGAAAGGTGAAATACTAGAGATAGGTGCATACACTCTTACTTGTAAATTTGAAGCACAATTGCAAGATTTCACTTGCCATATAACAGGGGTGTATGCTCCTAACTGTTATGTGGAAAGAAGATAAGTATGGGAGGAGATTGGCTCAATCAGAGGATTAATAGAAGGTCCCTGGGCAGTTTGTGGAGACTTCAATGTGTCCAGATATGTCTCGGAGAAAAGGAACGGTGTTAGAAGAACAAAGGGCATGAGGGAGTTCTCTGATCTGATTGAAGACATGAATTTAATTGATCTCCATCTTGAGAATGCTAATCTCACCTGGTTCAAAGGGGATACTGGGAAAATAGCCTCAAGAATTGACAGGATATTGGTGTCTCAAGAATGGGATGACTCTTTCAATAATATGAAACAAATTGCACTCCAAAGAATAATGTCGGATCATTCTCCGATTGCAATTCTAGGAGGTTCCTGGAAGAAGAACAAGAGTTATTTCAAGTTTGAGAATTGGTGGCTTGGCACTGAAGGTTTTATTGATAGAGTGAAGGTGTGGTGGAGTTCTTTTGATTACCAGGGGAGACCTGACTATGTCCTAGCTTCCAAATTAAAAGCCTTGAAACATAAACTGAAAGAATGGAGTAGAAGTGAGCAAGGAAACTTAGGTCAACAAAGGAAGAATGTGCTAGAGAAGTTGGCTACTCTGTACAACATTGCTATAGCCAGAGGCTTAACAGTAGAGGAATCAATGGAGAAGGCATCCTTAATCATGAACTTTGAGCAGCTAATCAAGAATGAAGAGATCTTGTGGAGACAAAGATCCAGATCCCTATGGTTGAAAGAAGGAGATAAGAATACCAAATTCTTCAACAAGATGGCTAATGCACACGAGAGATATAACAACATTGACCAACTTCTTGTTCAAGGGAATCTGATCAATGATCAAGAAAGGATTCAAGGGGAAATGGTGGAATTTTACCAAAACTTGTACTCAGAGAATGTCCGGTGGAGACCTGCCAGCAACTTCACAAATTGCCCAAGGCTGACAGTGGAGGTAATGGAAGATTTAGAAAGGGGATTTGAAGAGGAGGAGGTACTGGAATGCCTAAAACAATGTGCAATTGATAAAGCACCTGGTCCAAATGGGTTTACAATGGGGTTCTACATCAAGTGTTGGGAAGTGGTAAAAAATGATATCATGAAGACCTTCCAGAATTTCTACGAGCAAGGAAGGTTTGAAAGAAGTTTCAATGCTACTACCTTCATAGCTCTTATTCCAAAGAAGAAAGGTGCTAAAGAATTAAGAGACTTCAGACCCATCAGTCTGATAGGTAGTATTTACAAGCTATTCTCCAAAGTGCTTACTGAAAGGTTGAAAAGAGTGATGGCAAAGCTTGTGGACTTACAACAATTGGCATTCATCAAAGGGAAACAGATTATGGATGCTGCCCTCATAGCAAATGAAGTAATAGACTCCAGGGTGAACTTGAAGAAACCTGGAATCCTATGCAAATTAGACATTGAGAAAGCATATGATCATGTCAATTGGGGCTTTCTTATGGATCTGTTAGAGAAGATGGGATATGGATTTAAATGGAATCAGTGGATTAAATTTTGTATCTCAACAGTGAACTTCTCTGTACTTATTAATGGTTCACCAACAGGTTATTTTAATTCACAGAGGGGCCTAAGACAAGGTGATCCTCTATCACCCTTTTTGTTCCTCTTAGTCATGGAGGGACTGAACAACATGATTAAGACAGCAAACAGGGAAGGTTGGTTAAGAGGATTTGAGGTTGCTAGAGCTGGAAGGGATAGCTTGAAGATAACTCATCTTTAGTATGCAGATGACACACTTATATTCTGTGATGCTGAAGAAGAGCATCTGAAAATACTGAGACTGATCTTGGTAATATTTGAAGGAATGTCAGGTTTACATGTTAACGGGAGGAAAAGCTTCTTATACCCGGTTAATGAAGTGCCAAACATGGAAATCTTAAAGACAATCTTAGGGTGTGAAGTGGGTGCTCTACCGACTATCTACCTTGGATTGCCTTTGGGGGCCAAGTCTATGTCTATGGAAATCTGGAATGGGGTGATTGAGAAATGTGAGAAGAAGTTAGCAAGGTGGAAGTCCCAATATCTCTCCATGGGTGGAAGATTGACCTTGATAAACTCTGTGCTTGATGCACTTCCAACGTATATGAAGTCATTATTTCCTATCCCACCAGGAATCATCAATAGGTTGGATAGCATCAGGAGGAAATTTCTATGGCAAGGGAACAAAGACAAGAAGGGTTACCACCTAGTCAAATGGAAGGCAGAGATCAATGAGAAAAGATTTGGGGGATTGGGGATCAAAAATCTGCTTTAAGAATGAGATGGCTATGGAAATATTCAAATGAAAATCGAAGTCTATGGGTTAGAGTCATTAAAGCTAAATATGAGGAGAACGATAATTGGATGACAAAGGAGGTCACTACTCCTTATGGTGTTAGCTTATGGAAATCTATCAGAATTTTGTGGAATGAATTCAAAGTTAATACCATAGTCAAAGTGGCAGATGGAGTTAAAACTGTCTTCTGGAAGGATGATTGGCATGAAGCAGGCAACATGGAGACATTATTCCTAGATATTTATAACTTAGTTTTACATCAACAGAGCACAATAGCAGAATTGTGGACACCTCAAAGGTGGAATTTTGTGTTCAGGAGACACCTGAATGATTGGGAAATACCAAGAGTAGCAAAATTCTTCAGCACCATTGACCAATTCAGTGGTTTGAAGGCTGGACAAGACATCCTACAGAGGCAGGGAAATAGTAACGGGACTTTTAAAGTAAATGCAGCCTACAGGAAGATGAACCAACCAAACCAGCTGCTACTTCGATGGCCTTGGAAACACATATGAAAAGCCAAAATCCCACACAAAGTAGCTTGGTTTGTCTGGTTATTGGCTAAGGAAGTAGTGCTGACACAAGATAACTTGATGAAAAAGGGGATCCCTTTATGTTCGAGATGTTTTTTTTTGTGGGGAAACTGCAGAAACAGTGGTTCATCTATTTATACATTGCAAGGTCACAAGTCAACTATGGAGATTATTCCTATGTCTCAAAAACATATCTTGGTCCATGCCAGGGAAAATCACAGAAGCATTACACAGTTGGGAAGAAGCAGGAGTTCACGCTAAAAACAGAAACAACTGGAGAATTGTACCTGCAGCTATATGGTGGACAATATGGAAGGAGAGGAACCTTAAGAGTCTTTGAGAATATGGAGAATACTATAGAACAAGTCAAAATGAATTGTATTTTGACTTTATGTTTTTGGTGTAACCAGATATACTCTAATGATATTGTCTCTATCATTGATGTCTTAGACTCATTATAAGGATAGGATAGTAGATTTTCAGTTCTTTTGTAAATATGGTTTCAGTACAACCCATGTACTGTGTTACAGAAATAGAAACAGTTACCTATGTCAAAAAAAATAATTTGCATCTTGCTGATGTGCAATATATATATGTAAAACAGTAGCAGAACATAATTCCTTTTGTAGCATACTTGCCTCCATCTGAAAGCATTTGTTCGTTAATTTGTTCTCAATGTGTCTTTACACTATCATGTTCATCAATTCATTCAAAATTGCTTGGAGAAGGGATTATAAACTGTCTGACCACTTTACTAGGGACCAAACAATTAGAGGATCATATTTATACCGAGATAAGAGGAAGAATTAAAGAAGATGACATATCTGCACCCATGCGGAGAGGATCATACTTTTACTACACGAGGAACTTGGAGGGTAAGGAATATGTCCAACATTGTAGATGCTATGTGCCTACAAGTGGAGCTCCAACATCTGTTTATGATACGATGCCAACTGGACCTGATGCTCCTTCTGAGCATATTATCTTGGATGAGAATGTGAAAGCTCTAGAACATGCATATTACAGTATTGGTGCTTTCAAAGTAAGAACATGTCTTCTGTGCAGATTCTTATTGCTATTCCATGTCTCTTGTAGCTTTATAGCTTATCTTATTTCATCATGATTCTCCTGTCTTCAGGTCAGCCCAAATAACAAGTTAGTTGCATATGCAGAGGACACAAAAGGGGATGAAATATACACTGTTTATGTTATTGATGCAGAGTCTGGAATGCTGGTTGGGAAACCTCTGGTTGGTGCCATTACATCATATCTCGAATGGGCAGGTGATGACGCATTGGTTTACGTCACAATGGATGAGATCCTTCGACCAGACAAGGTTTGGATTTCATTGGAGCCATTGGATATAAGTGATTTAGTTTCCTCCAGTAGCATCCAGTTTCCAACTTTGTCTGGTTTTTTATTATGATATATTCTTTATGCTCCATAGTTGTAATTCAGTTTGGTAGAATGTCTTATGCTAATAATAATGTCCAGTGCTGTCCAAATAGAAGCTAATCCTCCATCCAAAGACGGATTCTTAATAGAAAAAGTTGATTGAAGAGATTTAATAGAGTTGTTGAAATCATTGAGGGTATTGTTTGTCTTTGGCATGCTTATCGTGGTGAGCCTTAGAACTTATGTTTTCTCTGTTTGTCAAAATAAGTACCTCTACCTACATATATGTTCTACTTGCTAAATCATTTCTGTTGGCTTTATAGCTAGTTTTATGGATTCGTCTGGTTGAAATTTATCTTACTTTTGCTTATCCAGGTTTTCTTTCTTTTGATTAATATTAGTTTTGACAGGTCTGGTTGCATGAATTGGGAACTAACCAGTTAGATAACTCTTGCCTTTATCATGAAAATGACGAAACATTTTCTTTGGATCTTCAAGCATCTGAGAGCAAGAAATATTTATTTATTGCATCTGAGAGTAAAATTACCAGATTTGTCTTTTATCTAGACACTTCAAAACCTGAAAATGGATTGGTGGTATTAACATCACGTGTGACTGGCATTGACACATCAGCTAGTCATCGTGGAAATCATTTCTTCATCAAGAGGAGAAGTGATGAATGTTTCAATTCAGAATTACTTGCATGCCCTGTGGAAAACATATCTGCTACCACTGTTCTCCTTCCTCACCGTCCAAGGTAATTATTAAAGAGATGACCAATTTATTGACAGTTCAAACAACTTTGCAGGAATTATTTTGTCTTCTAATTGTCAATTTGTATGTCTATCATTGATGTTTTAGATTCATTATAGATAGAGGTGGTAAAATTCTAGAGTTCTCTTGTAAATATAGTTTCAGTGTAGCACTGTTTTGGTTCTTTGAGATCATGCTCTGTTACCAATTTCAAAAAGAAGAAAAGGTAAGCAACTAGAAGCTTCTTTAAAGATTTTCACAGGTTAATATCATTGCTGAATGTGCAATGAACTCGAGAAGTCTATCACGACCTCGATATCATTTGCAATCACCATGTTACACCTACAAATCAGTAAAGAGATGCATCTGTACTTAATAGTAATTACAAATTCAAACTGGAGATTTGCAACATTCATGCAATAGAGCCGTAATGCACCGAATCCATGTGTGCTAACCTAACATCATCGTACATACCTATTTGAACCTTCAAATCATGAATCTAATCTTGTTTACTCAAATTGTTGACTTTGGTCAACTCTAAGTACTTCAAGTTTGTAGTTCAAGTGATCCAAAAGTCTTTTGATATCTCTTGAGCGTAGATTTTCTGCTAACTTACCTATACCTGGGTAAAGTCCTGTAAATTTTTGGAAAAAACATAAGAAATGGGCAAAGGGGTTGAGAAAGCTATTCCTCTTCTAGTCTATTTTGTGAGTACGAAATATTATGGAGCTATTTCATGATTATGGCTCATTAAATTTGGTTGTCATGCAGCATTAAGCTCCAGGACATACAACTTTTTACCGACCATCTTGCTGTTCATGAACGTGAAAATGGTCTACCCAGAATTACTGTATATCGCCTTCCTGCTGTTGGAGAGCCACTAGAAAGACTTCAAGGTGGTCGTGCTGTTGATTTTGTTGATCCTGTATACTCTGTTGATCCATTAGAATCAGAATTTGAATCCGGTGTACTCAGGTTTTCCTATAGCTCAATGAGAACCCCACCTTCTGTATATGATTATGATATGGACACAGGGGTTTCGGTGCTGAAGAAGATTGAAACGGTGAGTCACATGAGATGTTACTTATGATGATAATTTGAGTTGGTTTGTTTTGAGTCAGTGTATTGACTCATTGAAAAGTAGCCTTTTCTGCCTTTGCTTTTGTTTATGAGTACACTTTTTACATCAAACAATGCTCTACTTTTCTTAACATTAAACAAGCTTTACTATCTCTTAGCTTGTAGCTTTTTTCCTTTTACTCTGATCATGTATTTTAACCATTTCCTTAATGTCTGTTTATTTTTATTAAGTGAACTTAAAATAAACTTCTAGCATCTAAATCATATTATAGAAGCAAGTGCTATTTCATTTTACTCATTTTGGCATGAATTCCATCTGATATGGTGTGCTTATGTAGCTTATGGTTTAACTTTAGCTAACACCTTTGTAAAGAAGGATCACACATGGTAGGCCACATTTAAAAGCTGTGGTAACATAGTAAAGTATAATTCGTCATAATTAGAAGAAATGATTGGGTCACATACTACAACTCCAAAAGAGTGGAGGCAAAAGGAGAAAAGTTGTACGCAGTTGAGATTCAAGAATTCTGTGGTGGAACCTATGCTGCTTGGACCTTCAATATTTTCCGTTACACCCATGTTGATCTGACACGATTTGGTTGTGGTTGTGGGATCCACACTAGATATGGTCAACTTACTTGGGGCGCTTTGACTACATCTATGATCAAGAATTATAAAACAATTGGGTATTTGGCTTTGGGCTTTAATATATATAAATATTTTTTAGATTAAGTATGAGAGCACTTCCTTATTACACAAGATGTCTTGTGAATAGAATATTAGGTGTTTATAAAGAATTAAAATTATATTAGTTTTAGTTCAATAACTTTATGTAATTGAATTATATACATATAGATGTCTCAGTAATTGGGTGTATACGAGCACCTTATCTGCACTTATCCATAGCCCTGAATCCTAAAATTAATGTGATGTTAGTTGTTACCTTCTCAAAAAAAATAATTTATGTGATGAAGAATCCAACCTCTAGATCTGCACTGAATTCGAGCAAACATAGATGCAAGCTTTTTTTTGGTAAGGTCCAATTTTATTAACGAAGAACCAAGTTGGTACAGATAAGTACATGAAACAAAAATATTCCTAGACTATCAAATATATCGCTGTTACACCAAAAATATAAATTATGCAAACAAGTATTTTTTAATTCTTGAAATATGCATCCGTTTTCCTTCAAAGCAACCCTTGTTATTTCCAGCCATATAGTCCAGAAAATGCATATGGGAATTGTTCTCCAAATTTGCTCAATTTTTTAGACATCCTCGACTTTGTTAGCATTCCAATGAACTCTTGATATCTTTAGAGGCATTGACCATGAAACACCAGTCACATTAAGAAGCAACTCTCAACATTCCTTGGACACTGCAATTCAAGAACAAATCTTCTTCACACAGGTAGCATGTAATACTTGGTGCAAAACTTCTCTTCCATGGATTATTCTGAGTTAAACAAAGCCTCCCAAGTGATAGTCTATCCAAAACAAGCAGCTTCGACATGAGCTTTAGTTTTCCAGTTAGTCTTCCAAGGCCATTAGGTACCCTAACCCTAAGTTGCACAGACTCTTTACTTTCGATGCCACATCTGTGTCGGATTATCCAAAAATACACTACTTTTGGAGAATCCGACACACATCCGTTGACATTTTTGATGAGTTTGAGCAACATAGCTCTGATCCTAAGTTTTATAGCAGCAAATTATGGCAGTTCTTAACAGAGAACATTTTATCATTGCTATTCACTCAAATCAAGCCATCCATTTCAGTTTGAACAATTGAGATAGACTCCACCTGTTGAATAAGTTTGACCAAATTCTTTTGGCTGCCAATTGAGATTAAACATATGAGCTAATCTCAATACTCCTTAATACTATACATATATATCTCAAAGTTGATTGGTTATTGAACATGAGTTATCTGATGAAACTTTTGGAAATATGATAGCGCTTAGACTCACACACATTACAAAAGTGTCAATAAACTAGCTTAGAGTCACGCCTGGTAGATCTACTATAGAGGTAACGAGAACCAGAAGAAGTGGTGGAGAATAATTTCACACTGCATTTGGTGGATTGTCTAGAGAGAGGAATGATTGATGTTTTGAAGATGATACAAACCAACTTGTAGATTTATTAGGATCACTATAAGTATTTTTGTGTAGTACTAGTTGCTCCTTTTTGAAGGTCTCTAGCATGTCCTTAATGCTAAGGATTACAACACTACCCGTTGCATTTTTTTTTTTTTAAAAAGAACGTGCGCACAACTAGTTTAATCCTTATTCAAAGAATGAAAACTAAAGTAAGGCCAGACGAAATGTAATGTCAATAACTTTGACATCATTGCTTAGTTTTCTTGGAGAATAGCCTGGCAGATGATCATGCCACACATAGATTAAAATAGGATAACTGTGATGGAGGAGTGTACGAGAGAGAATGTTGGGTGTCTAGGGCTTAACACATGCAAAATAAGCGTTGTGGACATGCAGATGTGAAGATATATATATATATATATGATAATGTAAGTGTTAGAATAGGAATAAGAACTAGAATACTATATTGAATCGTACTTGAAATAAGAATATTATTTATATATATATATATATATATGATAATGTAAGTGTTAGAATAGGAATAAGAACTAGAATACTATATTGAATCGTACTTGAAATAAGAATATTATATAAAATCCTACTTGGAATATGAATAGTATATATAATCCTCCTTGGCAAAGGATTGTAATATAGTGTTTGTAAATAGAGTACCAATGTAATATAAAAGATACACAATTCGATAATATTTTTCTCTTATACTTCTCACATGGTATCAGAGCTTCTATGATTTTGATAGAGAATCAAACAAGCTTCCAAAGCGCGAGTGGTTATTACTCTTATAGTCGCCCGTCTCGCCAATGATTATGTTAGCAAAAGTTGAGGCAATTCTTAGTATATGCTTGAAAAATAAGCATGTTGAGAAAGACTGATTTGAGAAGCATTCACCATGCTTCTTTGATGATGGTTGATAACACTTATAACCTTTTTGAGTAGGAGAATATCCTATGAGAACACGCTTAGGAGAATGTGGGTCTAATTTGCCTCTATTTTGAGAATGGGTATGAACATAGGCAACACTTCCGAAGATTCTAGGAACTAATTTATTGGAAATTTCAAAATTTGAAAAGAAATTTCGATTAATATCAAGCGGACTTTTAGGGGTTGTTTGGTAGGGAGTATTAGGAGAAATATTCCATGTATGATGTATGATATTATTTAGTACTATGTTTGGTTGGATTTGGGCCTATGTCTTATTAATCTATACACCCTACATGGTATTATAGGATGTATAACTAATCCCTTTCATTTGGTGGTATTAGTAATACATAGGATTTAATACCATGAGATTAATCTACTTAAAGAAAAAAATACCCATCAAATTCTTTTAATCATTTTATTTGTTTCTTGATTTTATGTTTTGTATTTGTACTAGTAAATTTATTTAAATTAATTAGCTTATAAATTTTATTATTTAGAGAGAGTTGTCTGTTGTTAAATAAATCCAATACAAATCAATAAAATATTTGAAATGTGAGTTGTTTAACATTAACTAATTGAAAAGGCAAATATGTCACCATGTGATCTTAATTGAATATATTATTTGTTGATATATATATATATATGTGTGTGTGTGTGTGTGTGTGTGTGTGTGGGTGGGTGGGGTTTTGTAATTATTTATATTTTGAACATTTTATAAAATTGCATACACATAATTACAACTTGCAATTTTTATGTGTAAATGTAGATGGTTTATTCAATTTTACTATTGTTTACCATCTTTTCGATTTTTAAAATAGATGGTCTATCTTTTTTTAATTGAAAATTGATGTTTTGAGTCATCAATTTATTAAGATGACAATGATTTACCCTCAAATAATTCAAGTGAGAAAATAGCAAACATGTGACAAGATTGTTCTTCTCCTAGCTAGTTAGAAGGTCATAAAAAATAGTATTGTCGGGTAGTTATCTACCTTGACCCAATTCCATAAAATAGAAAATTGCATAATAATTCAAGAGTATAGTTGAAAAGAAGTTTTTTATAGAGTTTTAATCCAAACACAAGAATAATAAGTGAGAAGCAATGAACCAAACACTTCATAAAAATAAATCATGCATTACTAATCCCTGCGTTATTAATCTTTGTAACAAACGATCCCTTAAAGTTCAGAATTCTTGATGACATTCTGTTACTAAGATGTGCAACAATTAGACAACTTCCTCCAATACTGTTTTGATACCTTTTTGTGAAACAAATCTAGTAATGTCAAGTAATAGATCGTTTCTTCTCTCTGCTATCCCATTTTGTTAAGGAGTATTGACACATGAAGATTCATGAATCTTTTAATTGGCACATCATATTGAGTTTTGATCAGATTAAAAAAGGTAGGGAGAATTTGACTCACATCTGATATTTGCTTTAGCAAACCACGTTACTCTTGTACAATCATCAATGAATGACACAAACCATCTAGCATTAGGTGTTAGGAATGGGAGAGGCCCCCCAAATATCACTATGAATAAAGAGAAAATGGAGTTTGACATCTTTTGTGGCTAATTCGAAAGAAAACACGTTTGTGTTTTGCAATTTTACAATCATCACAATGGAAAGACTCAACAATCAAATCTTTTAACAAAGATAGAAACATCATTTTGATTACATTAAAGGAGGGCTGACTTGACCTAACTGACGATGATAAACCATACTTTCTCTTTATTAGACATAATAGATTCAGACAAGAATGAACTAGATAAGGAATTCTTAGTTGTATCTTCACCATTGTGGAAATTCGGACAATAAAGACCACCTTTCTCACTAGCACGCTCAATCATCTCCTTCGTGTTCTGTTCCTGAAATAAGTAATATGAAGGAAAGGCAGTTACTTGGCATTTGGAATCTTTGGTGAGTTTCTGGACTGAAATGAGA